AAAAGTGGTATCCTTTCCGCCCTATTGTATCAATTTAGGTACTGCCTCGTATCCATTACTAAATATTTAGTTTCTAGATTTCACTCTATTAGACAATAACATTTACACCATAAAAAATTCAATAGAGTTTGTAAAAGGTTAAAAACATTTCTCCTGTAATTTACTCATGGTTTCTTTTGATGTAAAATCATTATTCACCAATGTCCCAGTGGAGGTGCATTAAGATGTCTAGAAACCAGACTTCGCGAATTTCATTTCTCTTGCATCGAAATTGATGAGCTAATTTCTCTCACTCAACTCTGTTTGAAACAAACACATTTTGTTTTCCAAAATAAATATTACAAGCAAACTGAGGGATTAGCATGGGAAGCCCCCCTCAGTCCCATCCTGGCTGATATCTACATGCATTATTATGAATCAAAATTGTTTGAAACTTTAAACTTCCCGGCATGGTTCCGCTACGTAGACGATACTTTTACCCTGTTTGAAGGTAATAAAGATGATTTAAATAAAGTTCTTTCAACAATGAATTCTATTGATCCTGCTATTCAGTTCACTTTTGAACTTGAGACTTGCAATTCTCTTCCGTTTCTCGACATTCTGGTCACACGTAACACATCCAACTTCAGTACTACAGGTTTACCGTAAACCTTCATCGGTTTGCCTTCCACCACACTTTAAATCATGTCATCCGACTAAACAAAAGTTAGCTTCATTTTATTCCTATGTTTTCCGTGCTCTTCAAGTTTGCTCCTCCAAACTAGCCCTTGATGAAGAACTAAATTATTTAAAAGCAATAGCTATTGACAGGGGCTTTTCACCCAACATTATTAATCAAGCAGTTAAAAAATTCTCATCTCAACACACTAAAAGCCACACTCTTATTTTAGGAGATTATAAAAATTCTGTTGTCATTCCCTTCTTTCCATCAATTAGCTATAAAGTTGCACATATTTTGCAGAAATTTAACTTTCGGGTTGTTTACTCTCCCATCAATAAAATTCCAAGTTCTATACTCAAAGGACCCATTCCGGATATGAATTCCTGGGGTATTATAGGATTCCTTGCCAGTGCGGTTTAATTTACATTGGCCAAAACTAAGAGAGCCTTAAAATTTCGCGTCAAAGAACATGAGGCATATGTTAGAAAAAAGGAAACACAGAAGTCTTCTGTTGCTCAACATTGTTGGTCCGAAAATCACACTTTCAATTTTTTCTGCTGCCAAAATTATTCAAAAAACATCTTCCATTGGAGAACTGGATTTTCTAGAGGCATTTCACATTCATAAAAATCTTTTCTGTTCTAGTTAACGATCCTAATTCCAATCCAAATTTGCCTTCGGCTTTTAGAGAAATTATGTTTTAGTTCTGGTTTCGCCAACAGATGGCGCCACTTGCTTATTCTTGTCCAGGCTTTCTTATCTTATCTAAACATTATTTCCTATCTTGTTCATTTGCGGTTTTGCAGCTGAAGATGATGGTTCGGTAAAACCATCGAAACTAGTCCTGTGAAAATTTTGTAAATTAACGCTGATTTTTGTTGTTTGAATTCTGAATTAGTATCTTCAGTCGAGTTCTTAGGCGTGTTGTATATTAAAGATTTCATGTGTCCCCAGAAGAAAACGTCTAGTGGGTTGATGTTCAGTAAGCGAGGAAGCCAAGCCTCAGGTCCACCACGGTCGATCCATCGTGCGGGATATTCTGCCTCTCAAAGTGGAAGGCGAACCTATGTTCCATGGGAATTTTTGCTCGTCTGCATGGGTACTATTATAAGATATTTCTCCCACTTTCCTAGCTAGCATTCGTGGTGTAGTGGTTCTGCACGCTGGGCCGGTATTCCAGAGGTCCGTGGTTCGATTTCCGGCGAAGGCGTTTGCTAACTTTTCATCTCTCTGGCTTCCAAAAAACCCTAATATCTCTACAAGTGGCGCTCGAACTAAAAGGGTTGTGGATGTTGATTCTCCACACCCAGGATTTGGCGACTAGGTCCCCTAATACGCTAGTCGCCCTTTAAAAAGGGGAGTATGTAGGGTATTTCTCCCACTTTCCTAGCGTGCCTTCGTTGTGTAGTGGTTCTGCACGCTGGGCTGATATTCCAGAGGTTAGCGGTTCGATTTTCGGCGAAGGCGTTGCTAATTTTTCATCTCTCTGGCTTCCAGAAAACCCTAATGTCTCTACACTATCACCCATCTTATTTTATTAAAACAATTTACACTCACCGTGTATATGTTGAGACAGGACTGAATGTCCCTTTCAAGTGCGACGACTTAGGATAACACATTTGTTTTCAATCATACATTTTCCCGTACGCAATCAAAGCAACATAAAAAACTACGTTACATTTTCAAGCTCATTCTTAATTAAAATCACCCTTTACTTTTATAATTGCAGAAAAAAAACCCGCGTAGAATATTTCCACTCTTCTGCTTTATCGTAGAAATCAAAAGCGAAAAGTACCCTTTTTCGGATTTCCTTCACAAACTGAAAATATTAATCTGAGTTATTTTATAAAAGAAAAATGGCGCCAAATGAACTTTTAGTAGATCGAGTGGTACAATTATAGCACACATATAATTACAGCAGACTTAACTGAACCTGGATGAAAAGCACAGAACGGTAACCTCTAAGGAAGTAGCTACGTTCTAAATAAGCTTTCATAGTCAGTTAATCCTAGGATGGTTTCTCACTTTCATCGCGAGCGCTAACATCTGAGACCTAATTAATGTTGGCAGCTAAACATGAGGAGAAGTCTGCTGTTCACGCTAAAGTCATGCCTATGCTCAAGTTAAATTAATCACACTATCTCGTTTTCCTAACACAATGCAGATTGTACGATCTATCTTTGACAATAATAATGGCTACAACGTATTTTCTCAAGCGACATTCAGTAATAAACTTTCAGCAGCTCAGCAAACTGCAAGGAACTTCAACTGAAATAATAATAATTTTCATTACCTGTAACATTTACCAACGCGTAATCCCCAAGAAAATTTAAATAACAAGTTTCTCAAAGCAATTTTATTGTTTTTTAGAATAAATATGTAGATTTTCACTTTTTTTAGTAACATACACTAAATCGAGACTCTTATGTAGACTTAAACGACTTGTCGCTATGTTACAAGCAGATAGATAGTTTGGTTTGGTTTATTTAATTATGGAAAAGCAGAGTAGGGCTATCTGCCTAAGGGGAGGGATGCCTTTCGCGGAGGACTTTCTAAGGGGAAACTGACTCGTATACACGTTACACATGGGGAAAACCACGAAAACGCCCATGCAGCCAGCCCGTTCGCGAGTTTCGAACCTCGAACCGATCTACCAGTGTTCAGCGACTTTACCGCTCGGCCGCTGGTGGGCCCGACAAGCAGATAGAAACGCGACAATTATGGTAAGCAGACAGAGACGTGAAAAAGGTATAAGACACTCTTTCACTGAAAAAAGTAAAATTTTAAATTAGAAGTCTTTGTTAGCTAAAGGCTACGCATAGATATTTGAACACGTACGGCGCGACAGCACTATCTGCACTAATAAAGCAACGCCGTAGATAGGAATGCTTATCGTAGATTTATAAGGTATTTTCTCCTTCCTTTCTGCATGCTTTCGTGGTATAAAGGTAGCACGCTCGAAGCGAATTTAAGAGGTCTAGGTTGGATACCCGGCTAGGGCATTGCTCCTTTTCCATATCTTCTATTTCGAAAAATCCTAATGATTCTACAGTGGCGCCCGAACTAAAATAGCTTGTGAATGATGATGCTTCACCACCAGCATTTGACGACTGCTATCCCTAGTCCCTAGTCTCCCTTTAAAAGGAGGAGTATATAAAGTATTTTCTCCCTGTGTTCCGTATGCTTCGTGATGTAACTGGCAGCAGTCTGGACATGCATTCGAGAGGTTTAGAGTTCGAGTTCTGGCGAATAACTGCACATTTTTTACATTTCTGCTTAAAAAGACCTATTGACAGATTAACGACTAGTAACGTGGCTTTCAGCAGGCAGAGCACTCTCGGATTAAAACAATTTTAAATCTTCGCTTAAATGCATGCGAGCTAAATTTGCGTTCTGACAGGAAAATGGAAATGAAAACGGGAAGTGTAGTTTCGTAACATAGAATAACTGTTAAATAATAAGATACCTTACAAAAGAAATCATATTAGAAGCACTGTTTTATGATATCCAATACCATTTTGCATAACTTTTAAGAAATGAGCAGTAACTGAGGTTAATTATAAAATATAGTCAAATCATCACTCACATGGTATAACAATCTTGAATGAAGAATTAATTAGAGTATTATTTTTAATTTTATATTACTGTGAAAAAGGTATGCAAGTAAATGCTCCGGATTTACATTGAATAGAACATGTGTCGCACGCTCAAGGATGCCGAATTGAATCACTGCATCATTCCTAACTCTCTCCAGAAGCTTCAACGTGGTATTCATCATAAGTAGCATCACTTTGTTAGCAAAACACTACATAGCACTACATCTAAACACTATATAGAATACTGTTGTACATGTTTGTCACGAGAAACCAGGCACTTTCTTAATTTGTTTTGTGTACAGCTAAAACGTTCTAACCAACTTTTGCTTATCTCATTTTATATCCCATTTCTCATTAAAATTATTTTTTGCAAAAATAAATAATTGTTCATTTTGAAGATATTTCAGCCAAGGCAAAACGAAGATCTTGAGCCGTGTTCCTATCTCCAAAATAGTTCAATCTATATGAATTTTTACAAGAGTTACTTTTATTTTTATCCCCGCAGTGCAGCAATTAAACAAAACCAAAAACACTAAGGAATAACGCATAGTTCCAGTAATCTTATTATTAAATAAATGCCAAATATATATGTATTCCTGGCATGCTTTTTTCTATATCAAAGAAATTTTATTAAAAATTTTTGAAGTGTGTTACTGTTTGGTAACTTATTATTGTCTAGTAACTGTGTTACTGTCTAGCATATAAACATCTGCCCATTCTATCGGTGCTTATATTTGAAAGATTGTACTTTTGCATTTTCTCCGTTAGAAATGACTTATTTTTCCACTAATTTCCCAATTTTGGTTTTTCAGCTTGGATGCTTGGTTGGTTCATGTGCAAAAGTGTCTCCTACTTGCAGGGAGTGTCGGTCAGTGCCTCTATCAACACTTTGGTCGCCATTTCGATAGACAGGTGAGTAACTGACAAACAATTAATACCTTATTATTATTTCCCGTGGAATTTCAATTTTGCGTAGAAATAATACTGTCATAATCGAGTAGCTAATAGCCCCTTTATTATGAGGAAAAAACACGTATTAAGAAACATCCATATCTACTACATTGACAAAAGTAACTGATTATATAATGTGAATATGATGTAGTTCGAGAAATTTCACGATGAGTCCAATGCCGAGGTGATATTGAGGTTGAAGGATGCTTTCATTTACTACCAGTTACATACGCAAGCAGTTCTGCATCAGATATTCTTTCCTCCTTATGATTTGGGCACCTCCCGTCTATTATAAAAGTGATAATAACATTTTCGAAATTGCGTCATATCTGAACGAAATATTTTGCTTTTGCAATCTAACTATGCTCTCTTTCTCTCTGCCTAGCTAAAGGACGTATCTTGCTTGGCTAAATTCTGTTAGCAATGTACTATATTATCATCAAAACTGTGGGGTGGAGATAACTCACTTGTACTGTGCTATTTAATAGTGCAAGAAGTAGTAAAGATATATTTGGATTATTGAATGATTTTGTGATTTACAAGTGTTTATGACATCTACTGTGTAATTAAGACACAATAACATGCCGAATAAATACTAATTCAGAGTCAAACAACAAAAATCAGAGTTATATTTACAAAATTTTCACAGGACTAGTTTCGATGGTTTTACCGAACCACTATCCTCAGCTGCAAAACCGCAAATGAACAAGATAGGAAAAAATTATTAGATAAGATAAGAAAGTCTGGACAAGAATAAGCAAGTGGCGCCATCTGTTGGTGAAACCAGAACTAAAACATAATTTCTTTAAAGGCCGAAGGCAAATTTGGATTGGAATTAGGATCGTTAACTAGAACAGAAAGATTTTTATGAATGTGAAATGCCTCTTTTGATGTAAAATCATTATTCACCCGATGTCCCAGTGGAGGGTGCATTAAGATGTCTAGAAACCAGACTTCGCGAATTTCATTTCTCTTGCATCGAGATTGATGAGCTAATTTCTCTCACTCAACTCTGTTTGAAAGAAACACATTTTGTTTTCCAAAATAAATATTACAAGCAAACTGAGGGATTAGCCATGGGAAGCCCCCTCAGTCCCATCCTGGCTGATATCTACATGCATTATTATGAATCAAAATTGTTTGAAACTTTAAACTTCCCGGCATGGTTCCGCTACGTAGACGATACTTTTACCCTGTTTGAAGGTAATAAAGATGATTTAAATAAAGTTCTTTCAACAATGAATTCTATTTTTCCTGCTATTCAGTTCACTTTTGAACTTGAGACTTGCAATTCTCTTCCGTTTCTCGACATTCTGGTCACACGTAACACATCCAACTTCAGTACTACGGTTTATCTATGTCTTTCCTAGTCAAGCACTCATCTCATATCAAATTACTGCAACGAACTATATTTGTCCATCCAAACACACCCATAGCCATCCTTACACCCTTACCCGGCTTAAAAGTCCCTACCCGTGATTTATTTCCACAATCTTTTGTCCTAAGCATATAGTTTTTATTTATTACATAAATGTTTTAAATGACGAAAATATTCATATTTTTGGTAAATACCAAATTAAAAAAAAAAGTTAATTCGGGACAAATAATGAAATCTAACTTTTAATGCGGACTGCCGGTTCATGTACTTACACTTAAAAAAGTTTTATATTCGTAATGAAAAAATAGACTCCCGTAAGACAAAAACTGATCGAGATATTTAATTTCAAAATTTGCAATTTTGGATGTTATTTTCAACTTGCTTTGACGAATCGATTTTCATGTTAGAATAATTCAACGAAATAAGTTAGAATGAAGAGCAGCAAAAAATGTGTATCATTTAATATCGCGCACAAGAAAGTCATTTGGCGTCCATGTAGTACAAGGAAGTCATACGATTTTTTTTTCCTATCGGGTGCCACAAAGTTAAAGATACTTAATTCTGACTTCCAGTTTTAACAATCTGCAATATTCATCTGAATTACGGGGAATGTTTAACTATTATTGATTATATCCTAAAAGCTTGATGCCTTAACCTGCATCAATCACATTCAACATCTATGTGTCAGTCATGTTGTATTAACTAGCAGATCCTGTCATACCCAGCGAATTCAAAATAATTTCTGCTGAATGTATTGCACCTTTAAATTCATTGAAAGACATTGCACATGTTAATCCCTAAAACGTAAAATTTGCTATAAAAACATTGTACTACCTTTTGCTCATATATTTGTTTTTTTTTTTTTTTTTTTAGTTATCGTGATATTAGCATCATCATTTGAGAATAATTTTAATAGGAATGCCGTCAAATTGTTTTTTAGCTAAACTGATAGAGAAACATGGTACAAAATCAAAGTAACTGTACTGCCATTCTCACAAAAAAAGTTACTAAAAATTAATAAGCAAAAATATCGATTCAATCTCTGAAACGGAAATTAATTTTTTTTTTTATTTATTAATGTGTTCCTTGTAAGTTAAATGTAAGTAGCTTTAATCTTAGAACAAATCACAGAGGAGAGGTTTCGAAAATGCTATAGAACACCCTTTGTTGAAGAAAAACAAAATCTAATGTGGTTACGACAGGACTTCTTTGTGCGGCCTATTAAAATATATACACTTTTTGCTGCACTTCATTTAATTGTACTTCGTTGAATTATTAACTTAGCTAACCGATTCTTTAAGGCAAGTTGAAAATCTCATTCAAAAACTGCCAATATTTTTAAAATTAAATATTCCAGTCATTTGCTGCCGTACGGGGGTCAAACTTCTTAAAATTTTATTTTTTCGTAACGAGTAAAAAACTTTCCCAAATATAAGTATAGAAATTGGAAGACAGCATTAAAAGCTCTACGAATGTAATCGTAAGTTCATCTTCCGCACTTGCTAGTGTTCCGTTCATTCTACCATTTATGAACTAGGACCATTGACATTTATGTTATCAAACAGGAACTGTACTTGCTATCCATGAACTAGTGTAACCGTTCACTCAATTGTCTTCAAATTCTACTTCGGCTCTGGCACAGCGAAGACTGATACGTTGCATCTTAGTTGCCTATGGATGTCTGTAATAAGTGGAGATGTATATCGAGGATTACAGATAGCGTTCAGTAGAGATAGACTATCTGTATCAATGGATATTCCAGAGAGACGAATTTTTGTAAAGGACAGGCAATTGCTTACTCTATTGCCAGTTCCTCCGCCTGAAAGATACTGTTATGTTCGAAGAGCTAATGTTTTCAGCTACTTATTGGGAAGGCCCAGACTGCAGCAGCATACATGACTATCTGCTCTATTACTGTAGCATAGACAAGCTTTTGCAAGCATGGATTTCTGCTCTTTGCTGCTTTTAGTTTGCACCTTAAAACCACGTCATTTTATTAGCAATAGAGTTTGTCTTTAACGTCAACTGTACTACATGCAGGAGTTATATGTGACATCTGTCCCATGTCAGCCTTAAATTTCTAATGTATGGGCGAATTTAATGCCTTTCGCTTTGAGAGCGATAGAAAGGCATCTTTGGGGGTTAGTGCCAGTTTATGAAATAGAACATACTGAAACATAGAAGCCATCAAAATTAAACACCAGATGCCGTGCAGAGCAATGATTACGAATATTTTTCGTAGACGCAGTTAGCTCTACCAGTGACCGAATTGTTAAGACAGCTGAATGCTGATTGTTCCACCTAGGTCGTATAGGCGAATGGGCTGGATGAATGGTTAGTTTTCTACGTTATTCCCATGAGTAACATTTTGAATATATGCAAGGTTCCCTCAGAACTTTCTCTACGACAGCGTCCTTCTCCTTAAGCACCTACTAGTGGCCGAACAGTCAGAATCTGAGCACAAATAGTTCGACCTAGTTCAAACCTGGTGATTATGCTGGCTTTGAAAAACTACTTCACAAAGGCAACTTCCCTTTAGGCAGATAGACATGGCCAGCTTTTTCCATAATCGAATACCACTTTGTAGAAACATTAGGTATTTTTTTGAGGCCAGAGAGATGAAAAATATGAAAACGGCTTCGCCGGAAATCGAGCCACGGACCTCTGGAATACCGGCCCAGCGTGCAGAACCACTACACCACGAAGGACGCTAGGAAATTGGAATAAATACCTTATATACTCCCATTTTTAAAGGGTGACTAAGGTTTTAGGGGACCTAGTCGCCAAATCCTGGGTGTGGAGAATCATCATCCACAACCCTTTTAGTTCGGGCGGCACTGTAGAGACATTAGGTATTTTTTGGAGGCCAGAGAGATGAAAAATATGCAACCGCCTTCGCCGGGAATCGAACCACGGCGCTCTGGAATACCGGCCCAGAGTGCACCACGAAGGACGCTAGGAAAGAGGGAGAAATACCTTATAACTTAACCGCATGAATAATGTTTCTTTCTGGAAAATGTTTTACATAGTTTATTTTACTGACTTTTTTTTTTTTTTTTTTGATGCAGATGGACATTTAAGGGCAATATTAGCTGTCTGTAATTTAATTTTCTAATGTTTCTTTGTTCTTTAAAATTATTCCCTACCGTATATGAGAAATAATATTAGATTTTTTCTATGAATATTTTGCAATAAATAACTGCATTTGATCAATGCATATTAAAAGCATTTGTATTGTTAAAACTACTAAGATCCCAAATTTATGTTTGCAGTCTTTTCCTTTACGTTTTAGACAATCTGTGATTACTACATTTTCTTTTTAATATGTATGCGCAAAATACTACTGCAGCGTTTCATAAGCTAGAAGTAATAATTAAACTTAAGAATGTAATCCAGTTTTAATAACTTAAACTGAATAGCTTTAAATACAGTCGAGTAATTTTGCCAAAAATAATCGAAACTCTTTGAAATCCTTTTCCTCTCAAAATAACAAAAATGTCAGAAAATTACAGAAATAAAAACCAGTTTTTTAAGATTAATTTTATATATTACTTTCAACGATTCAGATAAGCTCACAGTATTC